AAAGGTGAGGTTTGCCACGGCTATAGCTGGTTCAACCTTCAAATGCCCCTAATTGTTATAATTTCAACACCTTTATCAGTATAATTTTACATGCTTTTGCACTCATATATCAAAAAACTCTTTGTCGAGTAAAAAAAAAATCTAAAAAAAAATCATTATCTTTTAATAGATTCATTAGCCCCTTGATCCCTTAACCCCTTAATGCAGAATTTTCCACGACATTTTCTTCATTATTTTGTGTTAATTTAGGATAAAATAAGCAAAAAACATTATATTTAGAATTTTAATAAATTATTTTTATAACATACATCACCGGAGAATGGTGTTTCTTTTAGGGTTTAAGGTGCAATTTTTCAAATATGCTTCATTCCCAAACAATAATTTTTCCGATTTGCACTTATTTTCAATCATGTAGATCTGAAAGAAATAGTGAATTCATCATTGAAATTTCTTCAGTTTGCAAAATAAATTGTGTATAAATTTTAGAATAGGAATGAAAGAAAATGCAAATTATTTTTTTTGATTTTATTATATTAATACAAATAAAATTACTAAATTCTAATAAATTTTTTAGCAACTACTAGATAGTTTTTTATGCTTAAAAAATACCAAAATTTATTTTAACTTGAAATTATAATTTGACAATTTATTTTAATACCAAAATTTATTTTAATTTGAATTTTACAGCACAAGTATGGCCACCTTATTCACCTAATTCTAATTTTTCCGTTCTGTCTTCAGAGCTTGGCACCCCCCCCCCCNCCCCCCCCCCCCAAAGAAGAAATTCTCGTAAGTTTGTGAATGTAAGTATATTGAAAAAAAAAAGAATCTGTTAGTAAATTGCGGCCAGAAGCAGAAAGCTTCAGAACACGCTTAAAGATTTTCATCACGATCTAAAATTGCCACTTTAGAAAGTTTTAAAAAATTAACTAGTAGTAATGTATCCATGTTTAAAAGTTTGGTTGTGCTATTTTAATAAGCATGAAAACTTTGCATTAAACTTTTTCAAGTGTATTTTTTTGTACAAGGTAAATAAATTTTTGTACTTTTCTTTTTCTCCCGTAAGCAAGTTTATGTAGATTAGGAGATCTAACTGCTGTTGAAAGTGTCCTTTTACTTTAGTTTGATGGAAAGAAACGAGAAAAAAAATGAGTTCTGGATCGAGGGACTTGTGTTAAGTCACACTACTATGTAACTCCTTGGCTATAGTTTTCTTGTACAAGAGATATACATTTTTATACTTCGACCAGCGTAAACGATTTTACGTATTCTATGAGAGCTGATCGTTTGTAAAAGTGTGCTACAAATTTAGTCTGATGGAAAAAAATTAGAAAAAGAAGAATGAGCTCTGAGTCGTGGGACTTGTTTAGTCATACTACTTCATAGTCCCTTGGCAACAGTTTTTCTGTAGAAAGGCTGAAAAATTTTATACTTAGCCCAGCGTAAGGAATTTTACGTACATTAAGAGAGTTAATCGATGATAAAAATGTTCTATAAACTTTGTTGAATGGAAAAAAAGAAAAAAAAACGAGTGAGCTCGTGGAACTCGTGTCTAGTTACACTACTACATAATCCTTTGGCAATAGGTTTTCTGTACAAAGTCTGGAAATTTTTATACTTAACTAGCGTAAACAATTTTACGTACACTAGGAGAGCTAATCGCTGATAAAAATGTTCTATAAACTTAGACCAAGGGAAAAAAATTATAAAAAAAGAATGTGCTCTAGATCGTGGAACCCGTGCTTAATTACATTACTACATAGTGTTTGGCACCAAATAATAAGCTAATAATAATAAGAATAAATTTTAAAAAAGCGAATTAAATCTGCGAAGTATCTCATACGAAAAAGAAAGCTTTGCAGTTTTCCAGTCAAAGAAATCCTTAACCAAAATAATTCCAACGATAAAATGAAACGAAAAAAATATGATCAATATTTATGAAAAGAATAAAGTGAATAGCATGCTATTGTTTATAGCTCATAAATTAACATAATGGAAATTTACTCGTTATTTAATAATAACATATTTAACGCGTTTACAGAACATAAATAAAACATGAATATCGAAGCCAAATATTCGAAAGAAACAAAAACGCTATCAGAATAGTTTCCAAGAAAATTGAATTTCCATTTATTATGGAACAAAAACTTCCATGCCGAAGAGATATCTTCCTAAAGTCATAACTGAAAAAACTACATCTTAAGAACTGATTTCTTTATTCAAATAAAACTTTTCATAGAATAGTTTATTGCCTATACTTTCGAGAGAGTTTGGAAAGTTGTCTTAGTTGATTTTATTTGTGTTTGTGAAGCTAGTAGGAAATCGTAATATTTTATTTTGTTTACTGGTTTTTATTATATTAAAAGTTATAAAAGGAAAGTTTCAGTGTTTGTTATAGTAAAAACGTATTGTACAAAATATTTTAAAAGTGCATTTTTTGGAAGTATTTTTGATTTTTTTATAAACCATTAAATAATAGGGATATTTTGCAAAGTTGTATTAGGTTCCATGCGCAAGATTTGAAGTAATTGCGCATGTGCATACTTATAGTGTATATGCGTCAGTTAAGGTGAAATACGCATGCGCCAGTGAAAAAATATCAAACGCAAGTAAAAACAAGAGATTTTGTAAAAATTCCATACATAAAAAACTCTAACATGGTGGAGTGTTACCTTAACTTTGACCACGAAATCAAAACAAACATTTACAATGGATGTAGACTATATCTTTAAAGCTGTGGCATACGATTCAAAATGCTTTGCTCTATGTAGAACTGCGGTTCTATGAGCAGAATAATTTGGTAGATTATAGGTATTGATGGATTCCGCTATAAAGAATACAGCTTATTATTATTAATATTTAAAAGAATAATTATCTATTGATTATTTAACTTCTTTTAACTATAATGCATAGCTAAAATAAATATAATTTATAATTTTAAAATAGCGAAAATACATCTAGTTTCTTATGGAACTAGTGCAATTAGACAAACTTAATGTTAAACAAAAACCAATAAAATTATTTATTTATTGTGTGAACCAATCATTGTAAGATCACGCAATTAATTTCTAAATTTCACGAATACATTTTTTTCAAATTCGCATTCCATGTCTACGCTTTTAGTTCGAAGGTAGTCTCAAAAACAAAACAACATTTAACAGCTATAAACAGCGTGCTTGTAGCTTCGTCTTCGTAGCACGCCAATAATCACGCCAACATAACTAAAATATACGTAGCATCTGAAATAAACGTGAGCATGCGCAGTTGTTTCAGTCTTACTTACTGGAGCGTACGGAAGCTTACGTAAAGAGTTAAATCTCCCTAATGATATTAAACGAATTTTTTTCAATAATTTAAAATCATAAATCAATTGTATTTTCAGAAATTTTAATTCAGTTGTGGGAAATATTAAATCCGTTCCATTGATCGAAAAAAATCTTCAAAAGTTTAAGAATAAACACAATTTTGCGGATAGTTCAAGAAATAATGGATCAAATCACGTGAAAATATGTATGAAAATACATCGAAGTATGAAACAAAAACAATAATTAGAAGAAAGTGAAAGTATGAACTCGCGAGGAAAGGTCATGAATTGATGGGCATTCCTGCGTGATAGTCCAAAAACGTAGGGAAATGGCATTTGTCAAGAATTTTTCTCGATATTATGCCGCTGTTTTGATTGTTTAGCTGAACGTTACCTTCGGGGAAGGCTGTAACCCCTAGAGTGCGGTGAAATTCACTGACAGTCAGATGGGTGGTAGGAGGGAAATAAATGCAGACCAACTGGCAGAAGTCCAACCTTTCTTATGCTCTGTCAACCCCTTTCCCATGGATAATTCAATCATTTCAAAGAGATGAAGATTCTTCCGGACAAGACCAAGACATATGCTCCCTGCAGAAACTGCACGGATGTCATGTTAACATTGAGACACATTTTCGAGTACCCAGTGTGTTCTGAAATTGTGAATGATGCCACTTGAGGACAACCTAAGATCTGTTCTTTATAGTGAAGTGGCACCGAATTTGGCAGCTGCTATCGTACAGACTTTGATGTACTTTGAAAATCCATGCACACGAAAACAAAAAAAAAAACAACAACAACTAAACTTTGGGTTTTGTTTTGTTACTTAAAAACAATAAAAATTTGAAACTTGAAATTAAAAAGGTGTGTGGAAATTGTGCAAGGAGTTTCACAGAATAAAAAAAATAAGATTAAATTATTAGTTATTTAATTATTAGTTAAATTATTATTAATATCAACTTTTAGTAAAAATATTGTCGGCTGATCTACTTATAGTTATATGAAACTACATTTAAAAATATAAAAGCTCAAGAGATATACATCTGTTTCTATTATGAACTGTTATATAACATATTGTTTTCGATGCATATTGTAAACAAATAAAAGGTCTTTTCATTTATTACTTTTTGTTTGGTCAGACATTCTATATTTCTAATTTCAAATATTTTGTAGTACTATTATTTTTTTTCTCAAATCCAACTAATCGCTCATTTTCTTATGATTAACATATTAACAAACTGTTCTTACATAAAATTATAACAATCATATATTTCAGAAATTAAATGACTTGAGAGATAAACACGGTGGTTGGTGAGCAGAGCGAGCAGGGTATGGAGCCACAAAGTGCTATAAAATTCCCCTTGCATACACATATTTAAACATCAGAGTTTGTCGACAGAACAATTAAGTCCTTAAATCTATCATTAACTTTTAAAACGTATAAAGACTAAAACAAAAATAATAAAAAGTACATAGTGACAAAATGAGTAGAAGTGCTAGTAGTCCAGGGTTAAAACAAGAATTTAGGTTTAATAGATGGGAGACGTCAACCTGCACTTAAAATCAGTAACAGTGAACACCCTAAGCAGTAGCAGTGCTTATGTATTTTTATTAATTTCTTAGACTACTTTAATGGTTGGTTAATTTCAGCATATTTAGTTTTAGTTTAGTCCAGCTTATTACCGCGAGAAACAGATGAGAAAATTGTTTTGTTTCATTTCAATTTCAAATTTTTCAATTAAATTCAATATTTTCAGCTTCTATTCTTTAGATGGCGAATAGAAGAAGTAAGTTTGTGACATTAATTTTAATAAATTGGTTGATATTATCTTACTGTTTAGCACTTTTGTAGTATTAGCATAGATTCATTCGTATTCCATAGTTATACTTTAAGTTAATTAAAGGATAGTGTGAATTTAGGTTTACGTAAACAACCGACACCATTTTTAGTCCTCGAACTTTATTAAATCAGGAAAAGCAGTTTTGTCACTTGGAGAAATTTCGCATAATCAATAGATACATTCTAAACTTAAAAATGAAATTATTGTATACGTTCTTAAATGCCATACATAAATTTTTTTAGTCAAGTTTATGCTTCACCAGAAATTTTCCCTCCAGTAAAACATGCATTTTAGAAATACTAAGCTTTCCCCATTATTTTAAATTTTTAACTTCTCAAAATTCTTTACACTTATTTACACAGTGTGTCCCACACAAATAAAGCTACATTTCTGTGCCTAAGCACATGAATGTCTAAGCACATATTTACATAGAACGACTAGTTCCAACTGAACAGAAAAATTGAATAAGTAAAAATTCAGGGAAAAAAATCTCCCACTCGCCTAATTACAGAACTAAACTAAACTCTATAATCTATACCAATATATAAAAACTAAACTAAAATCTATACCAATATATAACAATGTATAATAATACAAATGATTTAAAACGGAAAAATATTTTCATATACTGTTAAATATTGATATTCTTCGACAATTCCTCGTGGTATTAAGGCTCATCACGTATCTGTTTGTGACATAATTAAAAGACCAATATTCGTGTTTAGAGACAACTAGGAATAGCAATCGCACGCTCGGTCCTTAGAACCGATAGACCTTAACTTAGAAACTTAGACCTTTCATTTAATAATCCTTATTATTCAAAAGCATTTCTTTTAATTATTTAAAAGCTATTGAGTGCAAAATTTTGTAATTAGAAATTTTATTTTATTTTAGAGCAACATTTATAATTTTTTAATATTTCACAAGTTTAACAAAAAGTTTCTTTCTTGTGTTTTCTCCACAAATTATTAAAAAAAAAGGTTTCATATTAATCTACGACAATGACATTTAATTATGATATTAGATATTATTGGTAAAGTGATAAGAAGTACCTAATATACTATTATGGATTCTTTATTGTATTATTATAGGTACTCTGGTATTGGGTTTCTTACAGTCCCCGAAATGAATATGTACTAAAATTAATATAATCAATGGTAATACCGTTAAAGTCCTTTGACAAATAAAGTAGAAATGGCAAAAAGTTACGAAAACAATTAATCTTTAATCATAATCTTTAATTGTAATAAACAATGACATTATCCCTCCCACCTTTAAAAAACAGAGTACAAGCAACTGCATAAAAAAATAGCAAAAAATTAGCATTACAGTAAAATCTCTTCCTTATTGATATGAACTTAAAGTAATTCTAAACAATAGTACTGCTGTCATTTAAATTCTGGCGAAGTTCGGTTGTTTACAGAATTTGGAGATCATTTTGGCATGTAATCCATTGCTGATTTTCGAATAGTGCCCAACTAATGGAAAAGTATATTGACAGATCAAAAATAAATATTCTCTACCTTCAAATACACTCTCGAATTAGTTTCAACAAATTCTTTTTAATACTGGTATGAAAAGAAGTATAAATTATGATATTTAATGTTTTAAATTTCAGTTTCCACACCACCCTCAAAATGGATAAAGGATGGCTTTTATCAAAATAAAGACGCTTTCAACATCATCGCCATGATTACACTCTTTTTCTCCCCCGCCAAAAATTTTGTCTTGAAAGAAAGCATCGGACGCCTAATATATCCATCATTCAACCTTTTTTTCCTTGCTGTATCCAGGTGTATTTTAGCATTCATAATTTCCCAAGTTATTATTAGTCGATTTCCACCAACTCGCTCTCAACTTTCCATAAAACAAAGTACAACTCTTTTCGCACAGGTAAGTTTGGCGATTTCAAAAAGTAAAAACTGTTAATTGGTGTTTGTTTGTTGTTGATTACGTGCACAATTCAGTTCATACTCTTTCCTCCTCTCAAGCTATGAACTGATGTGAAATATTCTCAGTGGTAGACGGATCATGGGTTAGAGTCCCCTTGCCATCAGGCTAACTGGGGGAGGTTCTCGTGGTCTTCCTGTCCATATAACGCAAATATGGGTTAGTTCCATCTAAAAGTCCTCTACGAAAGCAAATTTCTCCCTGTACTTCATCCAGGAGTTCCCTTGTCTTCTGGATTTAGCTCGAAATTACAAGGCTACGGAGTTGAACATTAGTAGTCGTAAAACCAAAAATTGGGTCTGCTGTTCAACGATGGTTGTAAAAAAGAAAAAAAAAGACAAAGAAATGAAATTAGAAGACTTAAAGGAATGTTGTGACACGTAACAGTATTTCTCAAGGGACTATATTTGCATCAATATATCCCTTTGTATTGTTTCCAGGTACTTTACATGATTCCAGAATTTCAAATTGGAGGAATTATGATACACAGTACAAACATGACAATTTCAGTTCGACTCAAAATTATAATTAATGATCGATAATAGTTACGCTGAACAATTTGGAAAATGTGGCTTATCATTAAACTTCTCTGAAGCTTCAATTCATTTGAAACTTTTTATTCACGATATTAAACGTTTATCATTGATTAAATTAACTATTTTGAGTAAAAGTGTGTTCGAAACAGTAATTTAACTTGAATTAATTCCTTAATTGGATTTTTTGGCTACGCCTTCCGTTACGTCTTTCCGCAGTCCTCCCCAATATTGTTTCTCGATAATTTGGTCACGAAATGTAAATCTAAACACAAATCAATGAAATTTGTCATGTCTGCTTGAGAATAAAACCATCTTCTGAACGCAAAATGCTATGAACAACAATAATTTAACTATGTTACTGAATTTAAGCATGGCATTGACCAAACATAGAATGGTTAGTAAAAAAAAAGTTTTAAATAAGACCAGTTTTGAAATGTATGAAATTGCCTGCCAATTTTGAAACAAATCAACCTGAACTCTGGCCGGATTTGTATATTGGTCATTTAATCTGGCAAGTTTACTTTTAAGAAACTAGATTTGGCTAAATTATTCAGAAGAAAATTCAATAAACTTTTTTGTTCTCTTATTATTTCCTGTTTTTTATATAAAACCTCATTTGTTTTTGGGTTCTTCAGCTAAAGTAGATGGTAAATACATACGTACAAGAGGGGTAGATATACAGAAAAGCAAAGCATACGAGAGATTTTGTATTTGAAATTAAAATTCATTGTTTATTTAAAAAATAAACAAAAAAACTTCTGATAAAGTAAAGAATGTTGATGCCTTTTTGTGATGTGATGAGATTGAGAGTTTAAATTAACTAAAATTAGGCATAAACAAACACGTGTCTTCGTGGTGTTAGTGCAGACATATGGTTGCGAGGATAATGTGGACAAGCCCCATTCTACTTTCAATGAAGGAATATGAATTGATTACAAATGTAACACATTTGATGTTATTTATTTTTTAAATTATATTAATTTTGTAGAATACTTTAACTCTATAAATGATTTCAATCTCAAGTAAAAAGTTTAGCATAAAGCCTTTATATTAGTCCACTTTTTAAAGATGATGTTTTATCAAGTTTGTAAAAAGTATGTAATTTAACAGATAAATTAAGAAGAGTACTTTGTGGCTAACTGGTTGCAAACGGTAAAGTTACCAAAAAATCTAGACTTCTGTAAGCATTTTTTAAAAATGTTTTATTTATATATTTAAAAACATAAAAATCAACCAAAAACTAAATGAAAAAAAAGTTAATTTATGTTTATTTATGTTTATTTTTTTGTTATACATAAAATTATAGCAGCTCACCAGCGAACGGTACAATTTTCTGTTTTTGAATTGCACCAGCGAGGGAAATATCGCTAAGTCCGTGTCTTGTCCACTGGGACCATTTCATCATCAAGTTGAAACTGGATATTAAAAAGGAATCAAATCAAAATTGATTCTATGTTAATTAATTCAGTAGAAATCAGCTATCTAAAACGTATCTAACGAAACCTAAACGAAAAGAATTGATCATTGAAGATTTGAAGATAAAAAAGAGTTTTACCTTCAAAAGAATCCAAGACCTTAGCAACAAAGCAAACTTACTCACAAACTCAGATTCTAAATGTGATTAAGACAAAAAAAAAGTGTTATGCATTATGTTGATAGAGTGGTCGTTGTTTATAAATGTTTATAAAACTATGATCACTTCTGTTCGAAATAGATGTACCGTGGGCAAAATAGAAAACGGACCACCTTGAATAACTTTTGATCTAATGATCAGATGTTCACGTTCTAAGACTCATTCTTGATGATTCGAAGGGGTGATCTCAAATAGGCTAATTAAATGATAATTTTAGTTACGAAAGCAGGCACGAAAACGTACTTTTTCGGACTAAACCAAGTCTTTGATCGACCAATTCGTATTTCTGCTCCCCTAAAATGGTCCGGAGATCAGCCCGAAATCGGGACCTTTTAATGCTAATTTTACTTTTTGTGTATTTTTTGCCATATCTCGAGAAGATTTTAAGCAAATTGAAAAATTTTTTGCATACAATTATAAAATTTATTTATCCAAAGATTTTAAATTTATTTATCCACGTAAAAAATAAATTTTAATCTTATAAGTGCATGCAAAATTTGTCTTCGCTTTTTAAAGTTCGCGACATATGGCAAAGTATGTAAAAAGTAAAATTAACATTAAGGGTCTCAAACTTTGGACTGCTCTACTGACCAAACTATTGCGACCATATTTTCCGGACTACCCCCTATATTTTGGGGGTCAGAAATTCAAATCAGTCAAAAAAAAAAAAGGTATGATCAGAGAAAGTACGTTTTTGTGCCTGATTTCGTAATTTAAAATATCGCCTGCACTAATTAATTAGCCTATTTGAGGTAGCCCCACAAACCATTAAGATTGAGTCCCATAACGTGAATCCGAGCTTTAGATCAAAAGTTATTTAGAGTGGTCTGTCTTTTATTTTGCACACTGTTTATAGTTCCTATCGTGAGTACTTTTTTTTCAAGAAAAAAAAAGGATTTTTCTCAAATATTATGAGAAAAATTAGTTACCGATAAATGAAAAATTAATAAGTTATCAAACTTGTCCTCACTAGCTGCATAGCTTGTCCAGCTATTAATGAATTTTAATATGTTTTATATTTTTTTTTCAGAGTGTTGCAACCATTTGCGTGCTGTCTGTGCCTTTATATCTTCTTAAGTGTATTCTGGTACTATCTGTGTTTGGATGTCCATTTTATATTGTTCTAAACCTATTTTTTAACATATATAACGCTTATGCATGCAGGGATGCCGAGTCAAATGATTTACTAGATCCCAAGTAGGTCCTTTTAAAATATGTTTCAAATTGTTTTGAGTGGATCTTTCTGTTTTGTGCGTCACAACATTTACATTATTAAAAAAAGGAACGTTATTTAAAATTACAAATAAAACTGTATTCATAATTAAAAAAAATATTTACGCTGTTATGAGTTTCTGGTAGTACTAATATTTTAGTAAGTAGAATTGGGTACTTGCACTTCAAGAAGAACTTTCAAACCCACACATGTAGCCTATGACGTCAGAATCACATGTTAACCTATGACGTGAACCTATGTATGACGCCACGACACTTACATTATTAAAAAAAAGGAACGTTGTTTAAAATTACAAATGAAACTGTATGCATAATTTTAAAAAAAATATTTACGCAGTTAAGAGCTTTTGAAAGTACTACTAATATTTTAGTAAGTAGAACTGGGTACTTGCACTACAAGAAGAACTTTCAAACCCACACATGTAACCTATGACGTCAGAATCACATGTAACCTATGACGTGAACCTATGACGTCACGACGCTTACATTATTAAAGAAAAGGAACGTTTGCTTAAAATTACAAATAAAACTGTATGCATAATTTAAAAAAAAAATATTTACGCAGCTAAGAGCTTCTGGTAGTACTACAAATACTTTTGTAAGTAGAATTGGGTACTTGCACTGCAGGAAGAACTTTCACACCCACACATGTGACCTATGACGTCAGCGCCAGCTAATCCTTATCAGCAAAATGACGTATTAAAGTTGAAGTATGTTTCTCTACAGAGTTAGAATGTTAATTAACGATAAGTTACTTAAATACAGAGCCTTATCGCGCATCGAGTTAGTTGAAATATAATTATTTCTCATCTACTTCTTTTATTTAACTTAGATTTACTACTTATGTATTTTATTATTACCATGATAAATTTTTGTTTTGTGTACCTGGCATAATAAGTTTGTTTATGTTCTACATGGCTTCGCGCCCGTCTTTGTATCAAGTCTCTGTGTAAATATACAGTGAAAGAATTGAATCATTGTGTAGGAATATTAAATGTGTCACTTACGATTATTGATACTTAACAGGCTTGGCTTACTTGAAATAGAATGGAAAGAACAGTTGCTAAAGTAAACAAATGCCGCGTTTCAACAACCAATCTGGATTGAGATAACCACATTACGTCACTTGCAGGTATCCCGTTGAACCAAAAAATTGTCCTTATGTTATTTTCCTAAGTTACTTTCATGATGAATGGGTTTTGTTTAAAATGCATCAATCAAATTATGATATTCTAAATGTATATTGCATTTGAATCTTTATTTTGATGAGAACATTGAAAAATAATGTTGGTGCAGTGTTGAACAGTATTTTGTATTATATTGAAAAGTTTGCTTTAAACACAAAATCGCTTGCTTGCAGCAAAAAGAGAATTATGGAGTATTTCCACTCTTCTCTTAAGATAAAAACCAATTAAACTTTTTTCTCTGTTTTCGAACTATATTGTAAGGACATTTTGTTGAGAGCTCCAAAAACTCCAAGTCAGGAAACTGATCAGATATAATAACTTTACATTTTATTTCAGTTACTTGTTTCCTGAACCGTCGCCGAGGAGTAAACGTGTCCCTTCCCTTGGACTCTTAGATCCTGGCCGCCGCAAAACACGATCTTCAACAAAGCTTGCAACCCCAAATCGAAGATAAGCTGGCAATTAGACAATATCCTTGTTAAATAGGAATGGATAAAAATGTTTTGTTTGAAAATAAAGCTGAAAAAGTGAAAGATTAGAAAACTTTTCTTTTTTTTCTCTTTTGAATTTCAATCATGTTTTTTTTTTCAATGAATAAATGTTTTTAATCAGTTTTCAAACCAGTGTCATCTTATTTAATTTTAAAGTGTTAAAAATACTAACTTCCGTCGCACAATAATAGTAAAGTAAATAAAAAATCTAAGTAGACTGAAAAGATATTTTGTCAGTTATTTGAGCATTCTAGATAGTGGAATGGTGGAAAGATTTTGTTGTTACTAACACTAAATCGAGTAACTAAAGTTCTAGTAAAAAATTTTTTTTTTTTTTTTTTTTTTTTTTTTTTTTTTGTGGGCATATTTTAGATATTCTATAACAGGGATTTCCAACTTACATGAGGCCGGGGGCCGCAATTAAAAACACCAGTCTTAAAAGCAACTTTATCAAAATTTTACATAGGACTCTTTTATGCTTGAAGGAACATTAAATATTACTGGCAGACTTTTATCAAGTTGTACAAAACAAAAGTATTGAATTACGAATTAAATTAAGAAGTAGAAGTTTACCTGAGAAATTTTTTTTTTGCACAGTTGGTATGTTGTACGAAAATTGTCCGCAAAAAAATGACAACTAATATATTTTAGTTCGCGGGCTGGGTGTGGGCCGCCAGTTGGTAACCACTGTTCTATAACAACAAAATAAATGTTGTAATATCATGAAATTATTTTTATATAAAAGTTTTGAATGAAAAATGTAAATCAATCCTCTTTGCTCAATAAAATTATTAAAAATAGTTCAAATTTAAATTTAATAAAGACATTCATAACACCATCCAGTACTTTAGTTGCAATGCATTCCTGTCTTAATAACACGGACCCGATTCCAAAACTTTGTATTTTAATAAATGTCTATTTTAATTTATTCTACTTGCATATGCGGGCTTCTGTGCTCAATATAATGTAATTCAATATTAATTCTCAAAGTCAAGAAAATAAAACTTTAAAAAAGAGAAAGCACAGAGTATAAAAATGCAGCACGAAAATGAATCGGTTACGTGCGGAATTCAATTGCACTGCCTCGTCGCTTCAAGGTATTTGACGAGCGATTTACCTAAAACTGTTTCGCACTTAATTAGTTGGTTAAAGAAAAAAAAAATAAAAATTAAATATATCCAATTCGTATTCTTAGTTAAAATGGTTTGCTAAATGCTGTTTTTTAGTTACAAGTGCGAGAAACGGATATTTCTTTCTTTTCTAATTGAGACTTAGAAAATATTCTTATGAGAAAATATTCTTATCTTGAAAATATAGAATTTAGTTATTTTATTGAATTTTATGAAAGTTATTGTTAAAAAGTCATTGCTACAAACACTCAATGAATTTAACGTATATGTGTTGCCGAAACTGAAATGGATTACTTAAGTTACATGTCTAGTACAGTTTTGGGGCTGCATTAAGAACTGTTGAAAGGTAAAGCTGCAATAAGAGTGGAACAAATTTTACCTGTTTCTTACATAAGTTATGTATTGAAACTAGCTGACGTAGCATGGCTATAGCTATAGCTAGCTTACATAACAATAACATGATAAGCTACACACAAGCATCTTATGCATACATGCTTCCAAAGCACGGAGAGGTAGACACCTTAACGAGCTTTTAATGTGCCTTTTTTATGCTAGCCAGCTTTGAAGAAATCTTAAGCAGAAATAATAACATAGCATACAATGTACCAGTAAGAAGTGCTAACTTGCTCCAGTTAACTCGAATCGCGGACGATAAACTGAAAAAACTTATTCGACTATTGAGTTGCAGCTTCAACTTCTTTACGGTTGCTAATGAGGCCACGCTATATTAGATAGTTTCCTTTGTTATCGGCAGCTACTAGAATAAATATCTTAGTCACTTCAAAATTATTAAAAAATTTGTATTTTTTTTAAGCAAAAAGAATTTTTGTAATACATACTTACATAAAACATTAAATAAGTATCGTAGATCAAGTTTCTCATGCAGCTTCAGAAGTAATAAAAGCGTAACGCTTTAGAGAGGATGGTGTTATAAAAATATTCAGTATACTCGATAATTCTGACTTATTAATCAAAATATTTATTACTAATTTAATGCTCATGTCTCTGATTAAATTAGTAAGTATTATGAATAGTATTTGTTATGACAATAATTGCTTTGAGCATAGTGGTTAACTTTTATGTTAAAACGTGTTATCTAATTATAAAAAATAAATATTGTTATTAGTTCAGAATATGTTTATAAAATAAAGTAATAATGTAATGCATAATGTAATAAAATAATGTTTTTCTGTTACGGTCAATTTTGAAAATAATTGTATGTAAACAAATTTGCTTTAATAAAGTAATTAAAAATTGATAATCACTACTTTTAGCTCGCTTAAAACCAGTACATATTTGAATGTTTAAAGTTTAATTCAAACTATACCACAATAAAATTTAGCGTTTAAAATTGTAAAATAATGAGTAAAGCATCTATACTTAATTTTTGAATATCGACTGATAAGCATGTTTTCGATAGATCATTATTTGTATTTTTTAGTAAATGTTTATAGAGGATTCTGTGCAGTTAATTGATGAGTTAAAAAATTACTTGTTGAATTATTTCCTAAAATTACATACCCCATATTATGGCTCAAACTAAACTTGAACTAAAACAGGGGTTAATTTAATACCGTATTAAAACTGCAACTGTTACTGTTCAAGATACCATTAATACAGGGAACCGATTTTTTGAGAGTGGTTACTTTATGACATGAATTACTCTGCCTGGTGTTTTATTAATTGCATTTATTTAGTAACTATTAGGAACTATTTATGCTGGGAAATAGTTGGATCTAATCGAATTTGATCTTTTCCTAGCTCTTTGACGATAGCAAAGTCGGGCAAATAGAAAGTTATTTGTGGCATGCAAGTCAACTCCTTTACATTATTATATTTCCCTCTTTATATAGCAGACATCTTTTCCTTTTGCCACATCATTGGTTCGTATATTGACTTTTCTCTTCATCTTTTTCTTTTTTTCTTCGGCTGCGTATCAGAAGTGTGCCTTTGATAAGGAGTATTTTTCTGACGATGGTTATGTTGAAATTATTTGTATGTATATGTTACCGGTAAAGTATGAAATCTGGCATTATATAGAATGCCTAAAACTAGTCGGCAAAGTATGAAATGATTTATATTTCACACATTGCCTAGGCATTATATATAATGCCGGATGCTATTTAGGCAAAGTATGAAATAAACGTCCTGAAGAGGTTATTATGTAAATGATGTGCATGTTACTGCGAATGACCGAAATCGGTGGTTGTTGACTTTCACCGGTGAATGTTGACAATCATATAGTGGCTTTGGTGAATGTCCGAAATATTTATTACATCAGATTTGATATTAATTTATTCGTGGATATAATTACATTTATTCGATATTTTAATACTTACTGACGATAGATTAGAAGAAACATCAAATCAACAACAGGCAAATGTATACCGCACAGTGGCCCTTGATGGTCCGTTTTTATGAAAAACCATTGCCCGGTACACATTTGCCCGGTATACGCTACACTGATGTTTTAAGGTTAAGGGCCACTGCCCGGTATATATTTGCCCAATACTCCTAACAATGATATTTCTTCTAATCTATCGTCAGTAAGTATTAAAATATCGAATAAATGTAATTATATCCACGAATAAATTAATATCAAATCGGATGTAATAAATATTTCGGACATTCACCAAAGCGACTATGTGATTGTCAACATTCACAGGTGAAAGTCAACAATCACCGATTTCGGTCATTCACAGTAACATGCACATCATTTACGTAATAACCTCATCAGGACGTTTATTTCATACTTTTCCTAAATAGCATCCGGCATTATATATAATTTCTAGACAAAGTATGTAATACTTCTCATATTTCATACTTTGCCTAAAAACGTCAAGCATTATATATAATGCTGGCATTTCATACTTTGCCAGTCACATATACACTGTTATTTTTTGTAAAACTTCAAAATGTCTCCGTTAAATTACTTAAGTTCTTCTCGAAACTTAAGTTTCCTGTTATCAGAGTTATGGAAATACCGTTTTTTCCCCCATGCATTTCTCAAAATGAAAATTTATTCAAATCAATATTTTTTCATGGATAAATAGTTCCCTTTCATGGATAAATAGCTCCTTTTTCATAGGTAAATAGCTACGCATATTTTGTGGTGGGTAGAGGGATCATCTAAAACTGCGTCGACTGGGGTTCAATTTATTGAGCTAAAAATTCGGTGTTTGATTTACTATCTTTTTCATAGTGTTTTAGTGGTTCCCATCCCACTATAATGCAATGGTTTCAGCCTAAGAACCGGAACTTAATGTCTAAGATCCGGCCAGTAACTATCAGAGATTCACTTCCGATAATATAGAATCTCATGAAAATATTTTTTTGTATTTTTAAATAAACAAAACTTCCGTTTATAGTTGTTTCTAATTTTACACGAAACTCGTGGATTCTAGTATATTCGTACTTTAAACAAAACAATATACAAATGAAAATACCCAATCACAGTGAAAGATATGCAGGGCGATTTCATATGCCAATATTTTTAAAGTGTACAAGTTATTTAGAATATCAAATAAAGCTAGCGACTCAAGCCTCTGCTTGCTGTGTTCGCCATCTCTCGGACTTATTTCCACAGTTTTTTCCCGATCGCTTCGCACTTACAATGTAAACTTAATAATTTTAGTCTAGACTAGTTTTTTGAAAAATGATGCTGTTTGTTTTAAACTGAAATTCTAAAAATATGCAACGTATGCATCATATAAAACTTCTGATTTATAAACATTTATTTCAATTTATATCGATTACGATTTCTATTATTTGAATTTCAGTGTTTCTTGGAAATTACATTGTAAGCAAATAATGTATAAAATTTCATTTATATACTTCAGAGTTTGGGGATGCAACAATTTTATACTATATTTTAACTAACATATATAA